TCCCAGTTTTGCTAATTATAAAGTCATAAAGTAGTTCTTTAGCAGCTAATTTTTTTAGTCTGTTGTACTCTTCAATCCGTGTTATTATTGGATCTTAGCTAAGCATGGATTTGACGTAAGTAATTTTCAACATCAACAGTTGAGAATGTAGAACGCCTAGAGGCAAGAGAGCTCCCATTAAGTGCATGTAAGAAATGTGGTTTCTTTGAAGCGATCTTTGTAAGAGAAAGGATTTACATGAGTTTAGACGTATAATTGGAAACGACTAGCTGAGGATAGATTTCGTGCTTTGTAGCTATGGAATATATCATCAACGTTTCTCAATTAACTTAAAGGCTTGTTATTTTATGTATCAAAGCGGAAACCGTGTACTGTTACTGTAAATTAAGGACATACATACCTACCTCTATAATTACATTGAAGCTGATTTTCGCGCACGAAAGGACAAAGTTGATGAGGACATCAACAATACAATTTTGGACTTGGGAGCATTTCAATTATTAGTTCGTGTTATCCCCGAATTAGATTTCATTAGCATAGCGTAGACAACTTCTAATTACTTAAGTTTGTCGTTTACTGAAAAATTGACGTTTTACATAAACGGTGATGGGATATGACCTTTAGTTAGGAAAATATATTTAAACTATCCGTGAGTCGCTTATTCTGATCCCTTTATTGGAAGCTTTTATACAACACCCATAAATCAGGATTGAAAGCGCCACCGCCTAGTCGGTAAATTAGTATTTTCATTTAAGCAAAATTTGTCGTAGTGAATTGTTAATTGGGAATTGAAGTGAAAAAGTTATTTACGCAAGCGGTTTCCCCTAGAAACTAAGATTTAATGGTCGTCCATCTGAGGGAAGTTATATCCATGCCACCAGTAATCTTAACTCTTTAATACTGAGACCATTTTCCGAAGGTGGACAATCGTAATGAATTGATAAGAAAAAAATTATATGTAGGTTCCCAGCAATTTCGTCGTTATGTTGATTTCGAAAGTTTGCGTCCAAAGACTTTGTTTCGAGCCAATGATTACTGGTAGATAACACCACCAATCACGATAGTATTGAGATTTTTTAACAAACTTCGAACTGCTGACAATCTAGTTAAGGTAACGTTTCACATAAAAATCCACTCAACGTGCAAGGCACCAGATTTCTAATTTGAAATTTTTTAAAACTAATTATAAAAGCAATTTCTTAATGTTAACCCCTAATCACGAGTATAGCACGTTGAAACGCTTTAGTTTTCCTTAGCGGAAAATATTACTTTTATTTGGAAGTTATACGCCTAGGGCGACAAAAAAGTAGATGAGAATAAATCTTTCCGGAAAGTGCGAAAGGTATCCGGATTCCTAAGGTTTTCTTACAAATTTAGACATACTACGACATACAAAATACAGTAGTTATCTATCAAATAAGTAAAATTGTTGTTTACGTATTTGTGGGGTGGCTAAATGCAATTTATGTTTATGCTAATTTTCTTGAACAAAAATGTGAAATGAAATGGAAAAATTTTACGCTACGGAACGGAAATAAAAGAGGAATATTTTTAGGCAACAAAAGCAAATTCTATGGACGTAGACGATAATTGGTTACGTATGCTAATGAATTTTTACAGTAAATACTGCGCAATGTTTTAATTTAGAAATGCGTTCTGAAACAAATACACCGCGTAGGTAAATATAGGTTTTCACCAATTGTCTTGGGTTATTTTTATAATGAACACTTTTGTAGAAATTCCTCTGTATTCACATTTCAATTTTGGGATAGTGGAAACATCCCCTATATTCATAAATTAATAAGAATGGTTTAATGTTGTTGGAATTATTCAGACTCAAGTACTTTAGTTATATTACTTAGTGCAAAAGTTACTGCTATCCCCAGGCGATGTTGATTCGCTATAACTTTGTGAAAGTATGCAAGCACAAGAATATTCGGAAACTTCGTTTCGCTGTAATTGTTGCTTTGCTGGAAATTAAAAAACTTAAATTCTGAAATTTAAAAGGGTCCTTTACTCTAGGATGGGCATGAAATACCGGTGACCACCACAGAATACCACTTTCATTTTATATACAAAACCTCTTCAATTATATCTAAGGCACGATGACCCGCGTTTACTTGTATAATAATTTTTGTAATTGTAACAGCATCCTCCTTTCTATAAAGAAACGTCATTTTGAAGGTAGTGATGTGTCATGTATATCTGTTTTTATTTTTTGGGGTAGAATCCATTGGTTAATATCGTAAAGATCCTTCATTTCAAAAAGCACATTTTCAGAACTGAAAACATTGACACAAGCTTTGACATGAACTTCTCAACATCCTATATAAATTGTTTGAACAGTTGTTTTAGCGCATACATTTTTTTCCGTCTTGTATTAAACAATGCAATTGCTTTTGTGAAGGAGTACATTTTGAGTTGTTTATACTCGTATAATAAACGATTCGTCATTGGAAATCTTGTATATAGAATTTTTAGTAATGATCATCGTATGTGGGTAGAGTACAGACGGTGGACGAAATCAAAATCCTCTCCTTCTCCTGTTTAAAACGTGCATACACTCCAGAAACACATTTTTAATCCAACCAAAGGGTTAGTATTACTAAAATTAAATGCAAAATTCCAATCAATGAATTAAAACACTCCAAATCCTTCGTCTGGATTCGATTCCTATCAATAAATACAATACACGGGTAACGGGTCGATTCCTTTAAGAATATTAAAATTACTTCGAACAAAATTTCTCATGCAAGTTCCTAAAAATAACCGACCACCACTTTATTACAAATCAGAAAATTTTAAAATGCAGTTATTGACGTAGGTAATATTTTCTTCTGGTAAGAATTGATCTTATCTCTCCTTGGAAAATGCTACTCCCTTTACCCTTCACAAATATGCAAACTGGCCACTTCAATGGTACAGTTGACTCCTTGATGAATTCAAAACAAACATTTCCCTACATATTGCGAATCCCAGAAAACCGGCTACATTTTCGAGTCGAGAAGGGATAGGAAATTGGCCATGACTAATCAGAGGAAACAGATTTCCATTAAAATTGTCACCGAGAAAAGAAACGTGTTAACCAAATAAGGAATCCTTTGAAATAGATAGTACTTACACATTCGCTTCTACAAAAATGACTTTCTTTCGTTCTGCTTCCGTTATAACCTATCCGTTGCATCACTACCTTGAATACCTTTTACTCCATTCCTAACCCTAATTTTAGGAACGATTTTAGACTTGTGTAATGGGAAATTTTGTTATTTTTTTGGGCCTTCTTCAACATTTAGTAGGATTTTTGGAAAAATGTGCGACAAATATCACTACACAGAAGAAATGAGGACACCGTTTTTAACTGTAATTTAATAGGAAATTTTATGTTTTTTTAAAAAGGTTACCTAGCTAGAAAATAATTAATAGATCTTCTATTAGTTAAGCGAAGAAAAAATGTTGCTAATTATTTCCAGTTTTATTTACTGGCACCCTTTCCTAGGTTTATCTGAACACCTTTCCAATAGCACACAATTTCAGTGTGAAAAATAAAACACCAATTCTAAAAAATACAGCATCAAATTAAAGCAAGGAAAACCTCTCCAGTCATGTATGTGCTACTTTATTATATTAAAATCTTAGGGGCTGTTGCGCTCCTGGTAAGGGATGAAATACTTAAATGCACACATTGAAGGTTAAAAATTACAAATGAAAATTATCATATTTAGAACCTATTCCCGACCACTATCAGTTTTACATTTGCTCCATCCTGTATAGAAAATCAAATAAGTCCGTCACACTAAGCCCTCGTTTCCATTCTGGTCCCGATTTTTCTTAAAATGAAGGACATTAAAAAAAATAATAGACTACGATTACATTTAATCAAATGTGTGGATGAATCTTCTTTAATTGTATCGGAACAGCAAATGTCAGATAAGAGTAACTTACGAAAGAACCTGACACTGTTAAATTACACAATGGTGCGGACAAAGGAAGGGCTGCCTTAAGTGTAATTAATTTTTAACCAAAGTACGATTTGAAATTCTAATTTAGCTGTCCTTCATTTTAAATGGAAATTCTCAATCTGTAAACGTGACATTGTGTTAATGCTTTTGACAAACAAACTCCATTTACAAATTTCTGAGATTGTAACAGTATATTAATAAAAAATATTAGCCGTTCAGCACATAATCCCGCACCTGCTGGATTATAAATACGAACAATAGAAAAAGTTTCAGTTTATAATGTTAAAAAGCTCTGTTTTCGATACCTGTACGCAAGTAACTTACTTAACATTTTATTATTTAATTTAAATCCTTCCCTAGCGTGGCAAATGGGAGGTAAATTTACCGAAAATAAAATTATACCGATAATCTTTTGGTTTTGTCTGGGGTTTTGTTTATTTAGGTCAATCTCGGGGACGTTTGTACAAACATGTCACTATAGGATATTGTTATCCTCGTACAAATCGTATATTACGGAAAGGCTGCTTGCTTTTCACTCACATAGGAACCTATGCATATATTAATTACGCTTATACACGACAAACCGTTTACATAATAATAAATAACAACGATGTGTTGCTGGGGTTCTTAATTACATACTTTGTGAAATGGTGAGTCCTTATAGGGGTGTTTATGATATCATTTATTTGTTGTTTAATAATTGTTATTACCTTACTCCTCATTTTTGTAAGATGTCAACGAAAATTGTAATTACACTTTACTCGTAATTTTTAGCGCATTTTTAAGAATTAAAAAATGTGCTATTTTTTGCGTTTTGTCCGGCCGTCCGTCCATTGGTGATGTCCGAATATATCGGAAATGGTTTGTCGGAGGAAAGTACCCACAAAGACATGTTCTTATCTTGAAACTAATTAAATCTCACCTTACGCAACGCGTTAACAAATGTTCAAGTCTTTTAACACAACACGCCAATGCTACTAGATGTTCTTAACCTTTAACACGTAAGATTATTAAGATAATCGTTGCTATGGCATTTAAGTTATGCTCCACTTAATTAATAATAATAATAATAAGAGAAGAACAGCTCACATAACACCATCATGGGAAAGAAGATTAAACAAAAAAATCGAAGGCCTCAGAGCAGATCTAGCACGAATGCTAGAATACAAACGAGGCAACAGAAATCGAAGACTCACACGCAAAGTAAACGAGATTAAAAACAAATACAAACAACATACTAAAAAGAACTCGCCCAATACATCAACAGACCAACTTATAGACACAATCAGACAAAGACTAGCAATACTATCGAAAAGAATGAAACAATATAAAAAAAGCAATGCGAGAAAATCGGACAACTATCTGTTCACCAATAATCAAAAAGCATTCTATAACAAAATAAACGAAGACAATAACATAGAACTCACAGAACCACCTACAAAAGAAGAAATCGAAACATTTTGGGGAGAAATATGGTCCAACTCGGTAACATACAACAACGAAGCAAACTTCATGCACTTAATCAACGAAGAAGCAGTAAGGATTAATGACATGGCATGCAGCCAAATCACTGAAGAAACACTAACATCACAAATGAGCAAAATTCACAACTGGAAAAGTCCCGGACCAGACAAAATTCACAACTTCTGGCTGAAAAAGTTAACTAGCATGCACCCCAAACTCCTAGAAATATTTAATAACATCCTGGATAATCCACAAAATCTCCCAGATAAAATATGTGAGGGCGTAACGTACCTAAAACCAAAAAACCCGAACACCAAGAATCCGGCCCACTACAGACCCATTACGTGCCTTAACACAATATACAAACTATTAACTGGATGTATCACACAAATAGTAACAAAACACTGTGAAAACCAACAAATTATTGCTGAAGAACAAAAAGGTAGTCGCATTGGAACACTAGGGTGCAAAGAGCAATTAACAATAGATCCAATAATCATGAATCAAGCTCATAAAAAGAAGAGAAATTTATTTACATGCTTCATAGATTACATCAAAGCATACGATAAAATCCCACACTCTTGGATCATACATTCTTTAAAGCTTTACAAAATCAACAACAAAGTCATAAACCTCCTTCAAAATGCAATGACTAAGTGGAAAACAACAGTTCAATTAAAGACGCCTAAAGAAGACCTGAAAACGGGAAAAATCAGCATAAAGAGAGGTATATACCAAGGGGATAGCCTAAGCAGTCTTCTATTCTGTTTAAGTATGAACTCGCTCTCATCAATTCTCAAACACAACAACAAAGGCTTCACAATCAAAACAAAAGAACAAAAACACACAATAACACACCTCTTCTATATGGATGATCTGAAACTATATGCAGACTCCGAAAGAAATCTTATTAATATAATTAAAATTGTGGAAAAATTCAGTATAGACATAAACATGGAACTGGGTACGGAAAAATGCAAAATACAAGCTATAAAGAAAGGTCAAATAATAACAACAAGACAACCGATCTAGAAGCAATCACCTCAATCGAACCAACCGAATATTACAAATACTTGGGAATGGAACAATGCAAAATCATTGCACACACAAAAATTAAAGATAAAATAATGGACACATTCACTCGTCGACTTAAATCACTAATGAAAACTAACTTAAACTCCAAAAACCTAACCAAAGCTATTAATACCCGTCTTAACCCACTCATATGGAATAATCAGATGGTCTACAACAGATCTCACCAACTTAGAAAGAAAACTCAGAACCTCTCTCACACAATTCAACAAACACCATCCAAGAAGTGCTATAGAAAGAATAACAATCCCAAGAAAACAAGGAGGGCGGGGCTTCATAGATATAGCATATTTACACGTGAAACAAATCAACAAGATAAGAAAATATTTCATAGAAAAAAGCGAAAACTCAACATTAATAAGAACAATAAGACAGGCAGACGAAAATTACACACCGATAAACATGTCAAACACTAATATAGATCTCACAACCCAAAAAGCACATGAACTACAACATACGATTAATACCTGGAAAACAAAAGTCCTCCACGGGAGATACCCCAACGATGTAAACCAATCACATGTCGACATAGAACAGTCGTACAAATGGTTAACAGATGGGAAACTTTTTCCGGAAACAGAAGGGTTCTTTATATCTATCCAGGACCAGGTAGTAGCCACCAAAAACTATCGAAAACATATCCTAAAGGAAATAATAGATGACAAATGCAGATGGTGTGGCACACAACCAGAGACAGTCCAACACATCATGGCAGGTTGTACAACCCTAAGTCAAAACGACTACCTAACAAGGCATGATAACATGGGTAAAATCCTGCACCAAGCCATCGAAAACAAACTTTTTAAGACCAACAAGGACACTCAACATTGGAAATATCAACCTGAAGCAGTCATCGAAAACACCCAAGACGCACTACACTGGAATCGCACTATATATACCAACCAAACTGTCCACCACAACAGACCCGACACAATAATATGGAATAAAACGACGAAAACTGTTCATCTTGTAGACTACGCAAGTAGTAAACACTAATAATATAACAAAAACATACAATGAAAAAATAAGAAAATATCAAGATCTAAAGGTAGAAATAAAAGAACTCTGGAAAGTAGAGACAGTTCAAATCCACCCAATAATTATGTCAACCACAGGAATAATACCCAAATCCATGTCTAAACACATACAAGAACTAAACATCGACAAATCAATTATAGGTAGAATGCAACAAACAGTCATACTGTCGATCTGTTACTTATTTAGGAAAACGCTGGAATGATCTGTTCATAAAGGAGATTATTCGAATTGACAAAGTCTGCGAATAACTCCCAATAATAATACCCATCAAGGAAGATACCGGAAGATAATAATAATAATAATAATGTCTTTTATTAACTACATTACAACAACATATATAAAGTACAGAAAAAAACAACATTCTGCGTGCTAAGTAGCTAATTGGGCGAAGTTCGAATGCAGTCTCAGCAGAAACTGCATTCGCTCTTCCACTTAACCCATTTCCCAAATATACATATAAAGTTTTGAACGAAAGACTATATGGCTTCTAAATAATATAACATAAACTGGTGTGCGTGGTTGCAGCACAATTCATGAACGATTGATGAGTGCTGAAAATGTGAGTTAATGAGTGCGTGATTAGGTATGAGGGCTAAATAAATCCTATAAGATAACCAAATTGACAACGAGTTTATTGCAACTGACGATTAAGTAATAATAGTTGGATGTACTTTTTGAATTTGTGAGGAGGCAATCTTTTACACGAGTTTGGCAATGAGTTGTAAAGAGCGCTCATAAAGTGCTGACTTATGGAATGGTGGGGTGATTAATGCAGCGTACCTACTATTTGAGCTCAATCCGACCTTCTCATAGAGGTACCATGGAGTCTTCCCAGCGATTATTTTATGGTATAATGTAGCAGAGTGAGAGAATCTCCTATTTTCCATATTAAGCCATTTCATCTCATGTAATTTATGAGAGATTCGATCATACTTTCTAACACCATAAATCAAACGCAAACATGAGTTTTGTATTTTTTGTATCCTGTACTTATCGGCTGCGTCCAAACAAGGTCCGTACAATGCATCACAATAATTAAACTGGGAAAGGACGAGCGATTCGCACAGAATACTTTTTATCTGCTGACTAATGGAGCGCCTGTTACGAAAAATTAATTTCAAATTTAAAAAAGCTTTCTTAATCATCTCTGAAACTTGTTTTTTGAATCTAAGGTCAGAATCCAATACCACACCAAGGTTTTTTGCATAATCTTGAATTGGTAAGGTAGAGCCCTTTACACGTATTCGCACTGAATCTTTGTGTCGTTCCCTTGCCCTTCTCTTCCCAAACATCATAGCCAGTGATTTTGAAGTATTAATGTGCAAACCATGGTCCTCGGACGTTTCAACTATTCTGCATATATCACTATTCATGAATTCAACCGCTTGTTCAATATTGCATTCGAGAAAGTCGTAGTGCAATTGGGTATCATCTGCATATTGATGAAATTTAGCATGCTTTAAACAATTGCCAAAATTTGAAGTGTACAATATGAACAGCAAAGGACCCAATATGGACCCTTGGGGAACCCCACAGCATATGGGTAGAGCAGTAGACCGATGGCAATTAAGTGTGACTCTTTGGGTTCTACCTTTAAGGTAATTTGTCATAAATGTACATGCATTGGTACTAAAGCCAACGTAGTGAAGTAAACTTAATAAGATGTCATGATCGATCATATCGAAGGCCTTTGAAAAATCGAGCATTACTAAAATTGATAGTTTGTTAGCATCCGTCGCAGTAAAGATATCATCAGTTAGATTTAACAAGGCAGTCGTACAGCTATATCCATTTCTGAACCCAGATTGCGTTTTTGGCAAAATACAATACTTATCAACATGACTTTGCATCTGATTAGCTACCACCTTTTCCAACACCTTCGACAATACGGGGAGTATGCTGATGGGGCGCAAGTCATTAATATTTTGAGAGTTGTTATTTTTTGGAATAGGAACCACATTAGCCACTTTACAAATATCAGGTACCGTGTTAGATCTAAGACATACGTTAATGATGTACGTGATGTAAGTAATGATAAGCGGACAACATAACAGTAGCATATCAAGACTTATGCCATCTTCGCCAACGGCTTTTGACTTAATATTATAAAGTATATTCATGACTTCAATGTTTGAAACTTGTTGAAATTGTAACGTGTCGCGAAACTCACACATAATGTTATTTGTGTAAAAGTGTACTAAGTCATTGTTTATAGAATAATTATGCTTGTAAATAAACGCTTCGTTTAAATTATTCGCTTGGTTCAGATGTAAAGGAATTTCTACATTGCGCGATTTTGAGTATATATCCAACCGTTTAAGTTCCTTCCATAGATTAGACAATTTACTAGTCCTGATGTGGTAAGCTAAATAGGCTTTTTTTTCTTTTTGGATGGCGTATTTAGTATAATTACGCATCATTTTGTAATAAACCCAGTGTACGCTATTGTTGGTTTTTTAAAATTTTTTTAAAGCGTTATCTCTTAGGGACATCATAAGTCTTATATTGTCAGTAAGCCATGGGGATTTCGGTTTGGTTATACGTACCGTTCTCAATGGTGCATGAATATCAAAGATGAATAAAATAAGCGAATTAAAATAATTTACGATGTCGTTGATATTATGAAGTTCATACAGATAATTCCAATTGACCGACTGCAAGAGATCGTTGAACTCACAATTATTAAATTTGCTAAAATCGCCATAAGTTTTAAACAAGGGTTGCGGCTTGTAGGTATCATACATACTACAGTCAATAGGATATGTGCAGAAAATCAAGGCGTGGTCCGAGATATGATGCATAGGAACAGTTCCACTGCTAGCGACGTTTATTTGAGCCGAAACTATGATAAGGTCCAGTAGGGTGGATGAGTTAGCCGTGATTCTAGTAGGTTCGCAAATTAATTGTTTTAGACCGACCTCATACAACATACTGGTAAATTTAATGCAATTCGAGCTACTATAATTTAAGAGGTCTAAATTGAAATCTCCCATGCGAACAATGTTATCAGAAGCAGTTAGGATACGTGCAAGGCAATTCTCAAATGTATCAATAAATTTCGTGCAGGCATGTTCCGCTTTTCGGTAGATTGTTATCTTATTTAATAATTATCTTATTAATCGTTGCCATAGATTTTGTTCGACATAACTTTATGCAAGACTTAGGTAATTTTGATGGTATAACTGGGCATAAGAGATACGTCCGCACTGTATATATAAGAAGTGTCAAATAAATTGTCATAATATATACAAATACACGTGGAAGAGAGAAGATCCTTTAAATACGAGAACATAACGAATAACAATGCGTTTTTTTCGGTGCACGTTTTAAACACTGTTTTTTTTGTGTTTGGGCAGTCAGCCTGTTTGATGTTTAGTGTTGAAATAAGCTATACGAGTCCCGTTCAAACAGTTTAAACTTTTTTAAACTGTACCTTAACTGGTGGTTACTTTTGAGCCCACTGGAACAGTTTGTTCACCTCGAATTCGAAACTATCTTAGGATTTAACTATCAAACCGCAAATGCCTTGGGTGGGGACCGTACTCTTCTCGCATTGACTCTCGAAAAATAATTCCCACTCAATTACTGAATCACTGCCCTGAAAAATAACTGAGATATCACCGAAAAACTGAAAATGTTTTCGTTTTCATTTCCGCTAGCTTAAACGGTCGGAAATTGACGGTTGCCTTCTATGAGAATTTTTTGTCGGAGAATCTGAATCTTTTATCAGAATTCCCATAGCACGCTAAATGTATGACACAACAGGCTACTACTACTTTCTTAGTTCTTATGAGCGCCACATTGGATTTTTACGGAATGAGATTGAGGGCAAAAAGAGAAATCCATTTGAATGCATCGCCATGTTGATTCAACAAGATCTAGTTACTCGTGGATAACTTGAG